GACCATGCCTGCAAGGCTGAGCTATGCCATCCTATTGAACTGAATTATTGTTCCAGAGTTCTCCACAGTTAACCTTCCCTTCGTGTCAATTGTTAAATATAAATCTTTTCAGTAATTATATGCTCGGCTTTAAAGGTCGTGTGGTTAGGGTCCAATGTTACTATAAACTGTTGTGTCCCTATTTTCAGATTATTCATCAAGTGGTTACCGATCATTGGACTCATTCACATTCAGATATCACTATGAGCAAGCATAATCGAATTGTTCAGTTAGAAGTAATAATCAATAGTTTAAGCTTTATTTACTGTCACGGGTCTCTAAATACTTTATAATTAACTCATCTGGTCACCCAGGATAATTTTTCATTATAACTTTAAGAAACCCAACTGGAGGTTTGCGATTCGCTAGCCAACTGTTATTAGTAATTTAAGTGATGAATATCGCTTTTATGTTATATACTTGATTGAATTCACATAATGAATAAAGTTTTGCTATGATGAAAAAAAGTAACTACAAATTATTCATTCTGTATATGTTGATTAACCACTCGTCAATGTAACGACTCAAAGTAATATCAAAACACATTAAGCTTTAAGCTTTTGAGATATGTTCAGTATTAGGATGTCATAGACAGAAATTCAACATTAAGTAACGATAACTGAGATTAAAGTTTTTGATTAAATAACTGAAAGATCTTTTCCTAAATCCATTATAATATTTTCAACCGTAAATTATGATACAGATTACAAGCGTTCTGCTTGAATATCTGGGCTACCCATTCCTGCCATCTGGATATTTCAACAACTCAGTCATCTAGTTTAATTTTTACAAAGTTTAATGTCTCATATCTAAAACTAGGATAATAATATTTATGAATTTCAGTACATGGATTTCCAGTGAATGGTTATTTCACACATTCACAACAATTTTTAGGCGAATACTGATAGTTATATGAGTAAACATATTACCGACAATACAATGGATATTAGTGATACATATACTTATTAACCCTTTTATCATTGAGTGGTTTAGTACTTGGATTGTGGCCACCAGTCTAAGTGTTTAGAAGCAAACAAACGTGGCATTGGTTTCTACTCAGTGATCAGTCAGTTTAAATGCCTTGATCCCACAGGAGGTTTCGGTTTTGTTTGTAACAGTGAGACATAAAGATTTAGATCTCACCTAGAATCATTCGTTTTTTCAGTATTGTAAATATCCTTTCATAGTGAGCATGAGTTAACATAAAGTTTGGGTACTTAGCTTTCTGCTAATTGCCTGCTATACTGAATCTTATCTCGGTTTATTTTGACCTATGGCTACATTACAACTTGATTTACATACAGTACTCACTGTCTGAGAATTATAAACTACCATGAATTCGTTACAAATTAAGTTCATTGCTTGAGAAATAATTACTAGTTAACCCAAAAAAGCTCACTCTATAGTGGACTAATTAGCCTAGTTATTAAGTAAGTTGTATTACTCCGGGTACAAGGGAGTTGAGAATAAACTAATGGTATATATTCTTTTTTTTTAAAGAATGGTTTGATAGTTCTGCAGTTTGATTCCTTTCTGTAATAAAGGATAAAGATGTTTGCCTATTCAGTACTATTCAAAGTCAGTTATATTGTTTCCAATTTAGATCCATGCTTAGAATATATTGCTTCAAGTATTAAAAGATAATTATTAAAACTGTGAATTTACAGAGGTGATCTCCGTTTGATATGGGAAACATATCTAGTCTCGCATATTTAATTCGCCGAATCAAACCAATGGATCAACTTACAATAATATCAAAACATAAGTAACAACAGTTATCGAAAACATGCTAACAAAATACCTATATATATGATGATAATGTAATAAGATGTAAAATCTAATAAAACTCAGTAATCTGGAAACAAAATAATAGTTTAAGTGTATATTCATCTGAATTAACTTATTTCTGGAAACCTACTTTAAATATAATGTTTAATCTACTCATCTACAAGGTAAACATAATACTAAACTGGTTAGCGTGTTTAACATACATTATAAATCGTCTTCAAACTTTACTTATCTCTATAATGCTAACTTCCAAAGGAATCTATCATTTCGATTGGTTCCTTTAATTTAGTTGTTTGCCTTTCTCTTAAAAAAAGCATATCACCGTTTAATTAGTAGTCTTAGAATGCAGCTACAATAGAAATGAATTTGTAACCATTTCACTAAAATAAGTTAACTGTTCAGATAAGTAAAAGGACAAAAGAATATTTTTAATAAAAAATACACACACGAAGCCAATTGTATCATGTAGAAGAACAACTGAATGAAGAAAGGAATCTCTATTCTATAGCATGGACTATTTTTTGTTGTTGTTGGATTGTTCAGATTAACAAGTAAGTAATATCAGTTTATATTTTATTTCGTAGTCCTCTCTTTTTTTAAGAAAACAAAAAGAAACAGTAAATTCACATCTTAATCTAAGACGCTATTATAATGAATGAATCATAAAACTGAAAAGTTAAATCAATTTTATGAAACTCTACTGTAATTTGTTAATTTTCATTACCAAATGATGACAAGTTTTGTGAAACACTTTTAACCATAAACTGCTGAACAGATGTTTTCTTCTTTTTTTAAGACTTGTTAACAATGTACAACTATTACATAACATAGAATCAAGGACAAAAATGTTTATAATATTTGTTCATGAATATGATACCATTGTAATATATAGTCAATATTGAATGCATAATTCAACATAGTCAACTTCACAAGTCATGTCATACAGACATTTGTTAAAATGTTAAGAATTTATGAAAATGACATTTCTGTGCAGTACGGTTTTAAAAAAGCAAGCTACGCAATTGCATTAAAATATCAAGTAACTTGATAAATTGGCATCTGTAAATTGAGTGTACTGTAAAAATTATACTAGATTTTTGCAATTCAAGGGGTATCTTTGTCATATTTTAGTTGACATCAGTTTCAGTTAAGGAGTATTTCGAAACTAAAAATTCACCTAAGTAGTGTATGAAATGATCCTTGGACAACACGTACTGAAATTAAAAAAGCTAACCATAAACTATGTTTTCTAAAGTTCTAAATTTAAAAGTAAACTTAGAAAGTAATATTTCGAATATCTGAAATTGGTTAGAGCAGGAAAGCAACAACAGACTGATTGTTTTTTAAAGATATTTAAGTGTATTTAGGGAATTGTTTCTTTCACAAAGACTGATCTTAGAAAGTTCATTTTTTAAAGAGGTGCAAGCTAGATAAAAATCGCAAACCGGAAGATGTTATTCAGCTGTATAATCTTACTTTGAAACTTCTCACCAGAATAAACCGGTGACTATTCTAGGGATGGATATCACTACCTATAGGCTTAGCACCAATCGCTCAACCTTTAACCCACTTGGTTTTCATTCGATGATAAACATTTTCAACTTCAGTCGACATGAGATATTATTCAATCATCATTAGTTACAGTCTGAGACAACTCCTTAATTTCTGTGATGATTGAACCCCGCTTCTCACTAGCACTTTAAGAATACATTTCATAATTGAGAGATTCTGAATTAGAATGATATATATTTTTAGTGCTTTCTGATTTAGAATAATTCTTCAGTTCATATCATTTGGTAAAGAAAATTACTTTTAAAATTCCTACATTTATGCATAAAATCCCATAAGCTTAGAAATAATTATCCAGAAGTAGTAAATACAATTAGGACAAAAGATTTTCCTTGCTACTGATTATTGTCTCAAAACATTAGTGTAAGAGCTCCGAGATTATTCAAGAACTATAACGTAAAGTTTAGAGCGGAATTATTTTTTTACTTTAGTTCACACCCTACACACCTCCATTTAGTTTATCCGGGACAATGCCTCTGTAGTTTTGTTGTTGCCAACTTATGTACCTTGGTTATAAATTACCTAAAAATATACAGAAATTGGACAAGAAACGTATCTCATGTAGAGATGACATTGTGTCGTTGTTACTAAGTGGGAAAGTATAACAGTGCATCTAGAGTAGTGACAAGTCAATTTAATAAAGTAAGACTTAGCTGTCAGCGTATATACACTTGATTTTCCAACGTTCATCAGAACTACTGTTGTTATTTACGTGTTTTTATTGTTACCAGGTTAAAAAAGCGACAATTTTAGAACCACAAGTGTATGTACACAGAAAACTTCAGTTCTGTTGGTTTTTGCTAAGTGTGTTGGTTAATTCAAATAAAACTTTTTCAAGAAAGTACCTTCAAGTTAATCTGTAATAATCCTAAGTTATAAAAAAAAACATTTATTATATATTAAAACACGATAAAGTAAGGAAAATGCAATTTTTCGTAACTAATCATCACTATGAAAGTGAGTGAATTTAACTAAAAAACACTTAATCATACAGAATTATGTACACTAATGAAGTTACAAATAAAAAAACATTTCATCCACTTAATTAGTTGGATATTTTGTCTAAATTACATGATTGATAAACACTGAATAATACTTTAAAATCAATTAAATTTTTAATAGTTTACGGCTATTATTGTTGCGATTATCTCTATTATAAAAATAATAAAATAATCCTATCTGTTGTGAAACCCATATAAAATAGCTGATTTTTTTTAAAGACTATTTATAATATACTAATCCATTAATTGGATCTAATTTCATCTCAATATTTGAAATTGGATCGAGCTGTATCTGTCTAATATGATTCGAGTACTGAGTAGTAATCAATGTTATGTTGTTTGAGTTCTTTGCACTAATCAGATTCTTTTGATCTGATTTGTAATGTTAATACTAAACTAATGTGATTTAATGTCACGATGAATTTTGTTAGATAGTTGTATAAAATCGATATCCGGTTTCTGGGCTAGTTCGCATTCATAATGATTCTCTGATATATTGTCACATTAATTTAGGAAGAATATCAATAAATTCTTAGAGTGAAATATAAAAGTCAGTAACTTGTTTTACAAAAATTAAATCGCATTAATAACTTATCAACTCACCAGTATGTTCATATTTGTGCCTGGATAGTGAACTATGTTTAGAGAATACTTTTTGACATTGATCACAAGCAAATACTTCCGTGTTATTGACACCGTCACTACAACTACTAATGCTACCATTGATACTATCATTAAAACAATTGTTACTTTTTCCATATTTCTCCAACTTTTCACAAACACTGAGATGATATAAATGATTGTAATAATTATTATCATTGATGTGGCCATTAATCTTTTTATCGGATTGAATATGATCACTGGTATCTTGTTGTTCATTGATTTGAGTGGATGAATTGTCAGCATCTCTTAGCTAAAGGGACAATTAAAGAATCAAGATGTATACAAAAAGAGAACACTGAAAATGGTTACAAAAATATAAGTCGTTTATACAACAAACTTTTTTGTAAGAAAAAGAATGTTAGCTCCAGCGATGATCATCTTCACTTGAACCGATTAAATGACTGACTGCTGATTAACAATCGTAAAATTAGACTTGTTACTTTTCATCATTATAAGTATTTAAATGAAACAATCTACAACAGAAATTGTATTCGCTAAACTATTATTAACGATCAGAATGAGGGTTTGTGGAGATTGTAGTAATTTTAATAACTAAATACATGAGTCAATTCAAGCTAGAACACTAGTGGAAATCTGGAAGCACTGGACGGCCGTTTCATCCTAGTAAGGAGCTCCTCACAGACCTTCGGTCTCTCACGCGAGCGTCCAACCTCTAGACCACTGAGCTGGCATCCAACGGTGTTAATGTCTAGAGGTTAAATGTTCGCGTGAGAGACCAGAGGTCATGGGTTAGAGTCCCATATGTGAGTTCGTGAATATGCGCTACTGAGGAGTCCCATACTAGAACGAAACGGCTGTCCAGTACTTCCAGGTTTCCATTAGTGTTCTAGCTTAGATCGACTCATGAATTCAACTATTAAAATATTAGTAGTAAACTCATTGATTAAACAGTATGTCAGTATTAGTTATTTTTAAAAATTAATGTAAAATCTATTAGTTACTGACAAAATATCAAAGATAATCCATACAATGCAGACTAACTGTGTTATTTTCTTGTTAGCTGTCAGAATCCGTATACTTTCATTTATTTTTATATATTGAGTGAGTAGAAAGTGTGTAAAAAATAAAATGATCTGAATTTCAGTTTAAATTAGTTAATGATCACTTTGAAAAAACTTTAAAAAGTCTATGTAACTTAGCTAGTCTTCTGCTTTATCCACAACTTACAGGTCAATTAAGTTAGAAAGTTATTATTCACTTCATAAGATAATATTTGTATCCTGGTCTATTTTGTGCATCATCTTATTTGTAACATGATTAAAATACTCATAGTTATATGTATGCTAACAGATGAATCTATGGTAATTTATATGAAACTAGGATGGACACACATGTGTGTTTTTAAGTGGTTTTGACCCTACACATAGAATTTCTTTCTGGCTTATAAGTTTGAATTTCATTCCAGTTGTGTATTTTAGAACAATTCAATTTAATACTGCTTAGAATGGAGTTAACTTTCCAATTAGTTCTTCACACCATAATTCCTTTATAAACCTAGTTTCTTTTACGATTACCATTGTTATCAGTAGTAGTAGTAGTATCATCGTTGTTATTATTACTATTGCAAGTGATCTTCCCTAATTCACTAATTCACTACTTTGCAGCATTTTAGTTACAAGACGTTTTTACTAGGCAAGTAAAAATCTTTTACTACACAATTGTGTAAATCCTGAATTATTTAGTCTAATTTTCCCAATTTACAGCTGATGTACCTCACCATAAAATTATTATGTCTTTTGATTTGTCGTAACAAGTTGATAACACTGGGTACTACTGCTAATCAATGTTTATAAAATTCCAATACTCACTATACTAAGTAATTTATTTACCGGGTCACCAATATCCTCGTATTCCAGTAAATAAATTTATGAAACAACGACGTGCACAATACTTCTTTATATTATAATGAGAAAATAACACTAATGTTTATAATACACTGTATCAATGTTTATCAATTGCATTGTGATAATCATGAACTGAATGTTATATTACATAACATTTGTATACAAAAACACCACTAAAGTGATTGTTAGCCACATCATACTCAAAATAAATCATTTATGTCAATAACATTAAAGTTTTTTACTTTAACTGACAAGGTGTTATTTTCAAAAAAATTCATCTAGTTTACACTCAAAGGTATGCATAATTAGGCTTTGGTGACTGTCAATCTATTCATCCCTACCTTATTTTCCAACACTGAACATGATTAATTTATCAATAATCACAACAAATACATTGAAAATATTACCTATTTGGATGACGACACATTTTTAACCTATTCTAAGAACTCAAAGAATAAATGCATATTTACTATACTTATGGCGAATCACTAAGCCGTTATTGTTGTAACAAAATATTCCTTAATTATTTGATTGATAATTCGTATTCTTGAACAAGTAAATTACTCAAAATATTGTTCATTTATATAAATCATATTTAAGTGTTTCTCAGTCAATTCACAAGTCAAGATCCATTCATTTTTAATATGGTATCATCAGCAGCTAGGTTCAACTGATGAGCCATAGGAAAGCAAATTACACTAGAAAATCGGTTCCTTTTACGTTAATATTTCTCAACAATCCCCAATCAATGCCTCAACAACAAGCAAATTCAGGGCATTCAGTTGGCACATTGTATAAGATGGCTTACGACCGGTGAATTGTAAGTGAATGGTTTACATTTCCAACTTCAGTTAATCATTGATATAGTGCAATGATTATCCAGTTTCATATGTGATTCTGGTCTTACTGTTGACAAAATTAAATGGCACCGAGCATAATTCATGACTGAAATATAATGATTGCATCTCAAACTTAATAACCATTAGCCACAACACATTTCTTCGTTTAGAATTTTATGATAAAAAACAATGAACGTTTGTATTATTAGAAACGACAAAACAGATGAAATTATTCAGGAATAGTAAACTCTTTTAAGGCAACATATAAACAAAAACACAGAGAAACTATCTGATCTGATAAATATCAACAAGCATTTACAATACAATGAATGTGATAATTTTATATTCCATAAACTTCTGAATGATAGATTCTTAGAAAGGATATCTTAAAAGCTATCCATTAGCCCATCGAGTTACAGAAGTTAACATTGAGAATTGAACTGAGAATAATAAATTTTTCTCTAAATGACCAATATTAAATCTTACAAATCAGTTTTATTTTATCAGAAATGTACTCAGTGGTTTCTCTCTTGTTCAAAAATAGCTGTAAAATTTAGAAAATCCTGACTATGACACTATCCTCACTCATTGTGATCAGTCAATTACAGTTTGGTTGTTAAAAATGACATTTCACGGCATCGTGATCGCTAGAAAATCGAAGTTTCAAAATTCAATCACATGTGGAACACTAATTATGAGTTTGCAATAATGAGGATTCTCATATTAGTCTATCTAATAATCGACAGTCCTCGAGGGTCCCTCATATAACGTTAGTTTAGGAATGAAAAATACTTTTAAATTATAGGAACTATTCACAGTACCACCTAATTTGGAGATATTTGTTTTATTTTAATTTTAATATCATTAAAATTTAATCTAAAGAAGAATTTCTTTATTTAGGATTTCAATAAATAGCTATTGAGACTAAGTCCTCTAGTTTACTTGTGAACAAACAAACTGAAGACATAGTACCGAAGTGTACTGAAATCAATTTATTTAAAAAATAAATTTAAATCAGTAACTATGTGCAATTTTGTTAATTTGACTATTAAATATTCCACCTGTATGAGAATAGTATCATTGCCCATCAGTCAAATTGAATTAAGTGAGATGAGTTAGAAAACGTAGGTGGAAAATCAGTGTTTTAATTTATAAATTACCATATCATTGATTCTACTTAAAGCAACCATTAGTTATAACATATAGTCAAGGTGAATGGTAAAATAAGGGATTTGATGATAATTCAATGGATTTTGATCTTGTATACTGTAAGAACTGACTTTTTATAAATAACAGATCACATTACACTCCATATATATCCAGAAATACCCTCTGATATCCAGCTAACTTCTAGGAAGGAGTATTCGATAGAAACTGAAGGCGTCAATCTGTTTTTTTTATTCATAAAATATTGAGTTCCACTTTTTTCTTTAAACACTGTTAAAGTTAAATAACAATTAATCTTAACAGTCATATAATTTATGAATGGTGAAAATATTTCGTAACTTACTTCTTTTACAACGCTTCTCTTATCCATTGTGGTCTTCATATAAGTAGAATAGTCAAACTCACTAGTATTATAATGATTATTTTTTTCAGTTTTACAATCGTTACTGCTATCACTAATATCATGAATACAATTTCTGTTAAGTTCACATGTCCATGAAGAATTGTTAGGTGATATCGACCTAGATGACTGTGATAAATCCTTTATTGAATTATCATTTAAATGTTCTAAATTTTGATTTGAATAATTCATTTCATTCGATGTTCGCGATAAAAAGGAAACAGCTGCAACCGCTGCAGTAGCCGCTTCCATAAATGTCATTGTTGATGATGTTGACCACATTAGGTTAGGTGATTTATGAATATCCGGTTGATAGGAATTTGAAATGTTAAACTGTTGATTGTCTGTACTTAATGGTATATCATCAGGTTTTATTCGAGGCAATGACAAATCTAAAGCCTTTTCCTGATCTTCATGAAGCTCCTCACTTCGGAATTCCGAAATCGTTTCTTTCTCCTGTTGTACAAATGTACTTGGTTGTTCAGTTTTTGTTGTCGTCGGTGTCATCATCATTTCCAACGGTGATGATTGTGGTGGTGGTGACGGTGGGAATTGCTGTGTTTCCATGATGCGTGTATTAAAATCCTGTTGTTTATAAGTAAAGGATGATAATGGAGTTGAGTAATTTAGTACATTGTTTCTATGTAAATTCGAAATTATATGTTTCATGATATCTGGAGATAGTTGACAGAATATCATCGATGGATCCTGTTGTGAATAATTAGATGAGCACACTGCCGATGGTAAATTCGTCACATTTGTTGTTGATATAGACGACAATGAAGAAGATGAAGAAACACCAAGGTAGGATATTGAAGGTGATGATGATAATGGCGAAAAAGAAGGTAAGGTAGAGACAAAGGCAGAGGATGATAATGAGTTCGAAGTATAATTATCAACTTTATAACTTTCATACTTGGTAAAACTGTTATTATTGAACGACTTTGGTTGATGATTAACTAATTCATGATTATTCACTGCTGAGATCACTGGTGAAGATGTAACTATATTTGCATGTTGTAGTGGATAATAGTGCGAATATTGTGTATTGTAGGCATTGACAAATTGTTTTTTCTGTTCCATACATTGACGTTGTTCAGTTGTATACAAATATTGAAATAATTGTTCCGCATTTTCTGGTTTTATTCCAAGCATAATTGCTAAATTTTGTATTTCTAACTCTGATTTGGACAAATTTTTCAAATCATACTGATTACGTAATAATTCATCAGGTTGTTCATCTGCATGATGTAAATTACTATTAGCGATGGTAGTTAAAGTGGTAATAATACTACTACCACTAGTAGTAGTACTGTGAACATGCTCACTAATTTCATCATTCTTTAAGTGTGAATTAAACTGGTTCGATGAATTAGCTGGCAAATAGTTATCTAGTTTTAAATGATTAAATTTTAAAAAATAATCCGAATTATTAACTTGATTGACAGATTCTAATATACTTGAAACAGAGCTAAGTTCAGTGTCTTCACTGATATGAATACTATTTCTAATATCATGTTCTTTATTTAATACATTTACCTTGTTTCTGTGTAATTCAAAAGATGACGTGAGTTGGTTTATTTTATTAAAAGATATTTGATTCGTAAGAGTATCATTAGTAGCAAACATTTGACCAACATCGTTAATATTTTTGTTATGATGAATACTGACATTAAGAGTATGTGTAGTTGTTGTATTAGCTTCATTATTACTGTTACCATTGGTATTACATTTTTTGCTTGACATATGACTTGAATATGAACCGGAATGACTAAAACGTTTACCGCATTGTGAACACATAAATGGTTTTTCACCACTATGAATTCTTTCATGTTCTTTTAAATGATGTTTAAATTTAAATGCTTTTGTGCACTGAGAACAACGGAATTTGCGTAATTCATAACTTTCAGTGTGACTAAGTAAATGTCTATGTAAACGATAAATATTAGCAAATTGTTTACCACATTGACTACATATTGGTGTATTACGTGTAGATGAATCAATTTCCACGGTTAAATGTTGTTGCTCCATTGAATCATCATGTTCACGCTTATCCAATTCTGGTTGAATGGAATAATTAGTTGATGAGATATTTTGTTGGCATTGTTTTACATGTTGATTAACTTCTAATGTTGCTGCTGATGTATCAGGGTATAACTCCATTTTACTCACTGTCAACTGTTTAGACAGTATTCTTCCACTTTTGGACGGTGATTTATGCTCTATGGAAATTTTTAATTTTTTTGAATCAGGTTCACATGATGATGATGTTGAAGAGGATGATAAAGATGACAATGCCGAACATGAAGTAGATAAACAATCCGAAGTATGGATCATCCTTGAAGTTGGTGTTATCAATATTAATGCTGGGTTAGCTATACTTCCAGTAGATATGTCAGGAGCTAAATAATTTGAGAATTCACAAGTTTTCAATGTTTGATATTGTTCAATATGATCTGAAAATTTGTCAAAAATACATTTTAGTATATGATAGTCATCTTTGAGATAAGTAAAAGAGGTGAAAAGAAGTGGATTAATTGATCTCATTCGAATTCTGTGATCACAGTGAGTAACTGATGAATTCTTGTGAGACATACAAACACTTCTGACGGTGTGTTTACTTTCTATCTGAATTTCATTCACTTTAAATCAAGGTGAGTTTTAACTCCCTTTCTATAAATTCTACTTCTCACTACCCTCCCCACCACCACACATTCCCATTTACCATACCACCTGGCAAAACAGGTTGCAGCATTTCACCTACTATTTTTGAAATATATATGATAGAGGCAGTAACATCATACCACGCCTACATACACCTTTACAAAAACCACTAGTTAACACGTGGGCAAATAGGTTAACAATTTTACTATTGATATCCATCCATATATGTTATGTATGTACGTATATATGAATCTATTCAACCAATTAGGATACAGGTGAGATATTGCACCGCAATGTTTTCATGCATACTTTCCTACCCTTTCAGAGAAACTAACAAGGAGATTCTAGACATTTTCTACTAGGTAGGAATTAAATACATATTTGTATACATAAAGAAACATACGTTCGCCGTTGGTGTATGTGTCTATGTATAGAATTGAAGCAATTTCTTGAAAGCTTTAGCACTAGTATATACCTGATGACAGTAGTCAAAGTAGAAAGTAATGGAAGAAAGAACAATATGAAATAGAAAAAAAGATGAAATTCGAAAAACAGGATTATGAATAATAATGTTTGGGGTTCACTACGTTCAGGTGTGAATTACTTTAGCAGGTCATCACATAAAGTGAATCGTCCAATCATTGATTTGTAAAGAACTAGACAACGCATTATTGGTATAAAATTGTACCATAGTTTTAGTTCTCATTAGATGAACCATTCCATTAGATGAGATGGGAATATACAAATTCACAAGGCACACAATGTGTGTACACTAAGAATTATTATTCATGAGCGAAAGTCAACTGTATTGTCCGGGAATTTTTCACAGTTGAATTCAGGAGTTGATTTAAGATAGGTAACCATTGAAAACCTGGAAGCACTCGACGACCGGGACTCCTCAACAGGACGTATCCGTAATTCCGCGCGCGAACATTTAACCTCTAAACTGAGGATTCGGTATTCAACGGTATTAATGTCTCGCTTGCGGGATCATAGATGTGGATTGTGGAGGAGTTTAACACTAGGATGAAATGGCCATCGAGTGCTTTTAGGTTCTCAATAATGATCTAGCTTATATCAACTCATGATTTCAACTGTGAAAATACTACAATCTTCACAAATTCTCATACTGAAAAATATCCATCATAAAGTAGAAATTATATATAATACAATCAGAGTTATATTGATAACTCGGAAATCTGCACCTTTCACTATCACATTTAGGTTTCATTGAAAGTAATCACTATTCAGGCAGTAGCTCGAAATATTACCTGAGTTGTGTTTTTCCCAGCACCATTCAAATCTGGAGTCAAAATAGCGTTCTTATGAAAACTTTCTTCAAGCCATTTAGTTTTTCCCAAAATGTACATGAAAACATTACCATAACAATTACAATTTAATTATTTTTTACTGGTTGTTTGGATTTTCCCATTTACATTATTGAACTGTAATTGATCAATCATTTTCGGTATATGCAAATCCTTTGTGGATTGCCTTAATATTACCAATGAGTCGCAAACATGTTAAGCAAAGTTGGATGGTTCAGGCGTTGAAATCCCGAACGCTTAAAATCAAAATTTAGTTAAATATTTTTTAGCAAGTAGTCAACCTCATCGACTGACACCATTCAGTAAACCAAGAAAGACTGAATTTGTATTTCAGCCACGTTTAGGACCTCTCGTTAAAATGTCTACATAATCTTACATCACTGTCTAGATACTGTTAAAATCCAATCAGAGATCTTTTTTAAAATTTAAAAAATAGGTGAAGTAGCTCTAGTCACATTTCTACTTGATAACTTTATATGTTTTAATGTAATTTTAGAGTAGCATTTAAAACTAACAGCCTATCGATAGTTAATTTTTTGTATTTCATAAATTATAACATTTTAACCATTTAGTGTCCTACAAAAATGATCCTAAAAATGGATTTCATTGAAAGAAAAGAGATCTCCAAGAGAAAGATAACTGAACAGGACCGGTACAACCAAAATAAAGTACGCTGCACATATTAATAAACAAACAATGTACTCAAGTTACTGATAATTAGAAATATTAATTATATTTTATTAATAAATTCCTAAATGTAAGACAAATGATCGGAAATAAGATCATTTATACTGACAACTGATAGTAGAGTATAATGAAACTTCGCATATTCAATATAGCACAACGTTTCTTCAAGTGAATTCCATTTAAAAGAAACTCCATCACCTCATCATAAAATTAAAATCAACAAGAAATAACTTGATAAGAAAATATAAAGACATAAGTCAGTAAGAGATTATCTACCAGTCGGTTATCTATGGTTAATCAAATATTGAACTCAGAATTTAAACATTTAAACAACAAACTAGTCAACAATAAATAATTTTTGAAATTTGGAATTTTCTTTTGATTATTCCGTTTTAAATAAGAATTTTTTTTTAAAATGTGAAAATTATATTTAATAAAGAAAAACTTAATTCATCTTATTTATTTATTATTCTGTTGTTATCCTATTGTCGCGGTAATGATATTTGTACTTTATCATGTCAATAAGCACTTCATTCTACCTTTCCATCATACATTTCGTTATACATTCAGTTAATTATTTGAATAATGATAAATATTTAGATAGAGGTAGTCAATGCTATTAATATTTTAACTATTACTAATGTCCATCTGTCTACAATAATATTCACATATCAAAATTGAAATGATTAACCTTTGATTTCACATAATTGTTTATAAATACACATCCATGTATAATGTGTCAATGTTTACAGGTATGTGAAAATGCGAGTCTGTGTCAAGGTGAAGGTAAATATCAATTACTGTAAAATTTAGTGAAAACTCTTATTCTAATAAGTAGGTTGCTGAGATTTAAGTTGATTTTAAAGGTGCTTACAATTAGGTATCGATGTTAACTGGATAAAACATGAAAATCAGAGGACATTATGTTAATCAGCAACATACAGCTTTGGATGATACATATTCTATCGAAAAAATAAGTGGATTGAAACTAAAAGGGTTTATTTTTCATAACTGAGGGTATGTAAGTATTTGTCACACTTTTGTTTCCATTGTCAACAACGTCACTTTAAGCTTCCAGAAGACAAGCTCTCCATTTGTTTAGTCATTTTATTTTTGTTGTCTTTATGTTGTTTAGGTGGCTCTTCCTCATGACCATTTTGTATTTTAATAAAAGTAAATCTCTGTATAATAAGTTCTGTGACTAAGGAAAGTGATCTAATGTTATAATCGAATTAGACGAGTGCGATCGCAGGAGAGTCGCTGCTGAGTGTGTGACGTATTATCACAATGCAGCAGCTATCTATCAGTATAACAATAGTTTGGTCGTATTTACTTTTCTCTGGTTTCTACTGGATGTCATGCACACAGAACCATGATTAATTATGTCTGTAAATAACAACTTCGACTGTAGTTGATACCTTGACATAGCTGTCGAACTTGCATATCGTGATAAACCAGAAGAGCTATATTAGTTGACACAATTGTTCCTTTAATTCATATCATATTATCATACCAGTCAGGTCGGGTGGACAATGGTACAAATAAAAGCAATGACTAAATGACCGAGAGTGAAGTTATACCACTGACTGCGCTTGAGTGTGAAGGTGGTGGGGTGTTTCCTTGAAGTAAACATTATCTGCAGTGATGCTAACTTTTTATCAAGGAAAGAAAAGGTTAGAAAACGTCGGTCCCATGGATTTCAGTCTCCGGTGATAAAGTCTTTAAGATACAGACCTTTCGCATAAAGCTCATATGTGACTGGTCACAAGTATTTGTCCCTTGAGCTCTGTGGTTACATTCCCAGGTAACCATGACCACTATTAATCCACTTTATTTTCAGGCACCTTGATAAGTACACTTCCACGGTTTGGGTACCCAGGAGATCAATAACATCCCACATAACTTTGATAGAAATTGAGATCCTCTTGTTCACGATTAAACACCTGGTCGCTTCTCAATATTCTTTCTGTCTTCACTATCAATTTTTTCTATTATTTTACCACCAAGTCAATGCTATGGATCACGGGAGTGGTCGTGGATGATCACTGCTAACGAATCTTATACAAGAACGAAAAATATACCCACTCCTTTGCCCATCAAAACTGTTGTCTAACCAATCTC